CTTCCTCATAGATGCCGGAGCATGGGAAGGGGTAGTGGAGGAGGGATAAAGGAGTGGGAGAAGGAAAAAGGAGGCCTGTCCCTGGGGCAGCTACCAGGGTTTCTTTCCCACACTCCCCTCTGCTTGGCTAATTCCCATGGCAATGAACTAAAGGGGTTATATGGGTCCCAGAGAGTTCAGGACCTGAGGCTCCCCAAGTAGCCCTAATATAAAGCAGTGAGGGAAGGAGTGATGGAATCTATATTCCAACCTTCTCCTCCCCTCCCCACCCCCATTCCACTCCCTCCCCACCCCCCCCCCCACACACTGGGCTGTGGTTAGCTGGGGCCCCACCCTGTGCATCACATTTGGGAAACAGAAGGATTGCCTAGGGCATTGGGCCATTTAAAAATCCAAAGAAAAACAAAAACAGGAATAAACAGAACACATAAACATGGGCTGTGTATACATAGCTGTCTTGAAGTGGAAAACTGAAAACTTCACTAGAAAATGAGGCACCATGTGGTGTAGAGGTAGGAATACTAGGTCTGAGTCAAAAGAATTGGGTTCAAGTTTTAACCCTACTACAAGCCTTTTCTCCTGTCTGAACCTCAGTTTCCCAGGTGGTTAAGTGAAGGCTTTGGACTCTATGCTCTCTAAAGTCCCTTTGAGCTCTAAACCTTACAACACAGTTGGCAACTCTTGTCCTTCCAGTCATGTCCCTCTCTTGGTGACCCCATTTGGGATTTTCTTGGCAAAGATACTGGAGCCATTTCCTTCTCATATTTTTTACCCTAAAAGACAATTTTACATATAACATCTCATTCACACCCCCCCACAATAACTTCATGTGGTAGGTTGTCTGATTATCACCATTTTACAAACCAGGAAACTGAGGCTCAGAGATGGAAAGACATCCACCTAGGTTGACATGGCTAAGAGATGGCAGGAATGTTACCTGAATCCAGTTCATCTGAATGGGCAGCCACCAGGGCTCTTTCCACCATCCTAGACTGCCTCTTTAAATATGGCTAGCCCAAGTAATTCAGGCCCTCCTACAATTGTGGGGGATTTTGAGAAGACAGACTTAAATTATCTACATAATTGTGTCCACACTTTACTTTATCGGTGCTCCTCAAAGCAAGAGGTATTTCTTCAAATACTAAATAAATGTTTTAAAATAAGGCTTTGCCCTAGGTGATAATTTCCCTTTACATTCAATATTCCTGGCACTGTTCACACTCTTTGGAGGGAAGGGGAGAGGGAGCATGGTGCAGTAACCCTTGCCAGAAAGGATATATAGCCATGTAAAAAATGGGTATGGATGGGGGACTTTTTTTGGAGTAGGAGTGCTTTGTTTTTTGTTTTGTTTTGATATAAAGTTTGTCTATCTAGGGGTGGGGTAGGGAACATTTGCACTTTCATTACAGGGAAAACCAGTTTGAGTTTCTGCTTCTTGCTCCCCAGGAGAAAGGAGGCTCTGATGCCAGGGTTCCCACAGTGCTTCTTGGAGCCCTTCTCTTACTGGGATTTTTGAACATTGCTAGGGACACTTCGAGACACTAACAGACACTATACCCCCTTAGAATGGCAAAGGGGGGCTTGGAAACATCTCTTGTTCTGTTCCAAGCAGTAGGGAAAAGGAAATTATTTTTTCAGTCCTCAAACCATTCCGGCATCAAATGGTACTAGGAAAGGTGACAATTTCTTTCAGAGAAGTTATATGTTCATCTGACATCCACTCCAGTGGTACAAGATGACCTTAGGCCGGTTACTTCACCATTCTGTGCCTCAGTTTCCTTCTCCGTAAAATGGGGGAAGTAGGAGAGGCTAGCCTAGAATCTAGATGCTTGAAGAAGCCTTGGTTATCTACTGACACCCCCCCCCCCACGTTCTTTGTTACAACTTTGTATGTTCTGAGAGCCCTTTATGTTCTGTGCTCTAATATTCCATGTTCTAAGGTCTTCCTGCCCAGGTAATCCCACATATTCTGTGTTTAATATTCTGTATTCTAAGATGGTTACTACCCGTTTCTCAAAAGAAACTCGAGATGTACAAATTTAGAGAATCTACTTCAAATGTTCCCATGGGCTATTCGTGCCCGACCTGTGGTAGAAAGAACATTCGAAGCTCATATTGGTCTGATCAGCCAGTCGGACTCACTGTAACTTGACTCTAGCACAGTGATGTCATTTTGGTCTTCTTTGAGAACGAAGGCCAACAACCAACCAACTACCTGTATGACCATGGACAAGTCACTCTCCTCCACGTGCTTCAGTTTCCTCATCTGCAAAATGAAACAAACTAGACAACCTACAAGGTTCTTTCCAGCTCAAAGCCTATGATCTGATGACGTTAAGATTCCATCCAGCTGATACTTCATGCTCTATGTTCTGATATTTGATAATCTAAAATAGGAGGCATCATGGTACAATAGTAAGGGCTCTTAGAATCAGAGGTCTTGGGCTCAAATCCCACTTCTGATGTTTACTGAATGTATGACATTGGGTAAGTCACAGAACCACAGTTTCCTCATCTGTAAAATGAGGGGGTTGGATTAGATGGCCTGTAATGTCCTTTCAGTTCTATGAAGATGTCTTCCTGGCTCTGACTTTCTGTGTCTAATACTTGATGGTCCAAGGTCCATTCCAGGTCAGAACAATGGTCTGAGAGTCAGGAGATGTGGTTCCTTTGCTTATTCTTGTAACTAAAATTAGTTGAGTGACTTTAGGCAATTTACTCTCTCTTTCTTGGCCTTAGTTGTCTTATCTGTAAATTGAGAGGGTGGTAGTGGATTAAATCACGTTTAAAATCTCTTGCAATTCAAAGTTAAGGGTTCTAGGAGCCTAATTTTCTCTTAGGGTCCTTCAGAATCAATGCAATGTGATCCAGAGTGAGTAGGACTGGTGTCTTGGGTTGGGGGGGTTGGGGGGGTGACAGTGGAGTGAATGGGGAGGGGACAAGCTGAGGCCTCAGCTGAGGCCTTGAAAGGCAGGGGTGTGCCTCCCTTTTCACATCTTTGTATTTCACATTCACCTGGAAGCCATCAGGGCTAACAGGGGCAGCTTCAGATGGGAGAAGCAAAAACAAATAAATGAAGGAGAATCCCAGGCTGAGGGCTGGCCCAGCCAGTTTTCCCCAAACAAGAAAAGCATGATTCTCCCTCTTTTCCCTAACCCATGAGACCTGGGGCCCCTGCCTTGTCATTATACATACAACTGAGCTCACTGGGCAGTGTCAGTGGCTCTTAACTGTCTTGTAGACTCAGCTCTGACCTTAAATATTTACAGGAAATAGAGTGTGTGTGTGTGTGTGTGTGTATGGGGGGGGCAGCCATAATTGGAAGGGGGAATAGAATATGAAAATAGGGGTGGTATTCAAACAAAGAGGAGCCCCAGAGGATCCCCATGAATTTGATCTATCAAAAATGAGGTACTCAAGAAGTATTGTGGCACAGAGGACAGAGAGTTGACTTTAGAATTAGAAAGCCCTGATTTCAGGTCCATGTCCTATAGGAAGTCTTTCCCAGACCCTCTTAATTCTCGTTGCCTTCAGTCAGTTGCTTATTTCCTATTTATCTTGTATATAACTTGTTTGTACATAGCTCTTTGAGTGTTGTCTCCCCCATTAGACTGTAAGCTCCTTGAAGGCAGGGACTGTCTTTTGCCTTTCTTTTTATATCCCTAGTGTTTAGCACAGTGGCCCATAGTAGGTGCTTACTGACTGACTTACTGACACATACTGACTGGACAAGTCACTTAACCCCTGAATTTTCTAGAAAAGTCTCTGAGACAATAAGCTGTAGGACAGGTGTCCATCTTTATTGGTAGAGAGAATTTCCTCGATTGAAGAGTTCCTCAGATTGATGAAATGGAAGATCTAGACATCATTTCTGCCCCACCCTCACATGAGGGGAATACACTGGATCTCTAAAGTCACTTAACTCTAAATCCTTTATCTTCCCTTACCCTACCTCAAACCTGCAACCTAGAACTGCAACTGGAGGCTTCTTCCAGGCTACAAGGACCACACCATCTGTGGATTCCTGGGCCTCCTGGAACCCTGAGGGGACAAAAGAGGTGAGGTACTGGCCAGAGAGATTTAGGATTATAGCTCATGTGATCGCAGATTTAGGGCTGGAAGGTACCTTAGGTGCCAAAACATTCTTGGCTCCCCCCCCCCCCCCCCCCCCCCCCCCCCCCCCCCCCCCCCCCCCC